CGTAAAGTATAAAACAAATGCCATAGGCAAAAGCAACGCCCGATCTCAGTGCTCCTGGACTTGGTACGGCAGTGAAGCATCAGTGCCAACAGTGATGTTGCTGTCATTGATGATGATGATGCTAAGTCATTCGTTGTGTCAGGTCAAGTCAAGGGTGGTTTACTGATGCAGCGAGATCGCGTCGTGCATACGAGGTGGCTCAGAGTGCGAATTTGCTGAAAGGTCCGTGGTTCTAACCCGACCTCTGCTTCTCGAATTATCCCGTCTAGGTATGGGGAGCCTGGCAGTATCCCAGCCCTTGTGCTTCCCTTGGGTGGCATGGCAGCTAGGCACCGAAAGGGTGTTACAGCTGAACGATTATTATTATTATTATTATTATTATTATTATTATTATTATTATTATTATTATTATATATTTTGCTCCTCGAGGACAGGTTCCGGTGGGCGGAAATTCCTTGCCCCCCAGAGTTTAGCTTCGATGGAGGGGAGGTTCTCCAAAAAGAGATGTATGGTTACAGGAACGGCTTCTTTGAGGCCGTCAATCCGGATAGCTAAATGATCTATCCGAACATACACTCTCAGTGTTAACCCACCCTTTTATAATATTTTTCATCACCATTCTCTGTGGCCACCCTGTGCCATCGGAGGGATGGTTTTGAAGTCAAAAGTGTGACGTTCATCACAAAAATCGTTCTCTCCATTCTCGCTTTCAGATACTTTAAGTGCTCATAAGAGTTGAATAAATCCCAGGTCACAGAAGAATCTCCCAAGCATATCATATCCCAGGATACATCTCGGAAGAAATAATGGAGTTCTCGGAGGTGTATGACTTCGAAGCGACTGGCCCAACGAATGCACGAGTACTGAAAGTTTACTCAGGTTAGAATCACATATGGTTGTGAGCTCCGCCACACTAGATGCTGCCACTCGCACTCTTCAAGAAATCAGTTTTCCTAACAAGGCGGGTGGATTCGGCTATACTACTCCTACCTCCTCTGTGACATCCAGCCGGTTCATCATCTGGTACTTAACTCTGTTTCTTGTTTGGTTACCTCTCTTCAAGGCGTTCTGATGGCGAGTCTTTGGAGTTAATGCAGACGTCCCTCGATGACTACTCGGTTTCCGATTGGCTAACAGTGTGCTTTAGTGGATCCGCCGTTGTAAACTGCTGTGTAACTTCTGGATCGAACAGCATAGAGTGCCTTGTATGTACGTCGAATGGAGGCGCTAGGTTATCCTTCTCTGTAAGGCTACTTGGTTCTTGTTCTTAAGCTTTTAAACAGCTTTCTTTCGAACGTCCAAGGCTCTTCAAAGATTGCCTTGATTTCTACTCATTCTATCAAATCAAAGGATTGCAACCATCTCTTATAAATGCATCTACTGCGGGGTTAATCCAGGAGACCGCGGAAGTCGTTTTTGCCTACGGTTTGTCTTCTGGCTCTATCCTCGTTGCTCGTGCAGCTTTTGGAACTACTGGTGAGTTCTGATGTGCAATTGCTATACTGTTTTTTGTATTCTGTTACAAACTTTTATACGCATCAGGTCAGATTTCTGTTTAGTTATAGGAATAGTGGCGCTGACTCCCATGACATCGTCCTCATTAAAAGAACTAGGAGAGCTAATCAACACTCACTGCTGGTGGGTAACCGCCATACAGCTAGTACGTACTGAGCGATTGATCTAGAACTCCCAAGAAAACAGTGGTTGGCTTTGTACTGAATAGCCTATTAACTGCCTATGATATCCAATGACCATGTATTCTAACTAGTCCTCGACTGCGCTTTATTATCCAAGTCACCTTCGACTTTTTGGTAGAATCTCGATGACGATAGTTTCCACTCTATTAAGTTTTTTTGCTAATAATGTAGTCTGTGTGTGCGAACATGAGGATAACAACAGGAAATGTCTCGTACTAGACCCAGAAATAAGTCCCCTCGCGCTTGTTTTATTACGGATGCTTGTCTTATGCTACCTGCTTGTGGTCGAAAACAGTCGACACCGAAACGGTCTCGAGATCTGAAAACCAGGAGACTTAGACAGTGGATTTATGATGTAAGTTTCACAAAGTAATGGATCAACGTATTCGAGAATGATAACTGGAGCATAAGCAGTGGGATGCAGTTTGTGAACTAGTCCACAGTCAGGTTGCAAATTCTACGCCCATCTCAGGCCCAGCGTTGTCTGTAAGTTTTGTCGATCGATCGCCATTTTTGTGACGATCGTTTCCGAAGACAATATAATTAGCTACCATGTGGTTATAACAAACACCCCCTACGCATTCTGAATCGGCCATCCTGATTCGCGTTCCAACACACTGTAAAATGAACTATCCTTGCTGTGTCAAAGTACTGCTACCAGTACTGCCATACCAGCAGGCAACGAGTACGACGGTGCACGCAAATCCCTCAATCGCCAAATAGTGAAGAGTCCAAGAAAAGACCGAGAGCTCTGGTGGACATCGAAAGCTCGGGAGATGGAGAAGGCTTTT